AAGTCAGCGAAAATGCTACTCCTCCCGCGTCCCATTGCATATCAATCACCCAAATCCAATGCTGTACAAAAAACAGGTACCCATATTTAGGCCGGTTAACAGGCACAGGAAACCGGATATCGTTGCAGTAAAAAGGCATTTCTTGAAGCTTAGACACAAAGATAACTAAAAAAAAGTAGAAATCAGGAAACACAATTATTATATTGAATGTATTGTATGTAGAGACATGCCTGAGTGCTCATTGGAACAGGAAATGGACCGGCGACCGCGATTTATGCTGTGCAGTCCGACATTTATAGGCTTGTCATCCCTGCCTCAACACCTCGCACAAACTTACATCAACGAGGTTGGTAAGTTGACGACATAATTAAGTTGTGGCTTTAGGATTATATCAGGAACATTATATAGGCATTGTATCAGATAGGACTGGCACACCAACCGGGAGGAATAATCATAATGCGATCATTGATTTGTTAAGAAAGGATAGTCAAGGCCAGTAATTTAGCTTTATCAACAAACAGTATGTGTATGGTGGGCAGGATAATTCAGGTGCATGTGGCTTATATAAGGATTGTATTGTGTTTAAAACCATACATACCGTACTCAGTAAGGGATCCATCAATTTGAAATAGAGGAGGCCCAGAGAGGGCTTTTCACAGATGGAAGGTCCTCAGCACCAAAATTGATAATTATGGCACCTATAACCGGAAATGGCACTCTCAGGCTCACAATTTTTTTCTCGTTTTTAAAAAATTAAATGTTGAAAAGCTTAGGGAGAGGGGGAGGGAGAAATTTATCTTTAGCACAAAAATGATGATGTGACTTAGGCTTCATGATTTCTGGTAACCATTATTATGTCAACAACTTGCAATTATCATTGGAATACTTATAAGCATATTAACAATGACAGAAACAACATTACTAAATCTGAAATAGTGTATATGCCTATATTACATCATAGTAAAGCATGATATACTGGCACACACTGATGCTAAATCCCAATGAAATAGTATAATATGCTTCGTTTCCTGGTACGAAATAGACCTATTGTACACGTGTGCGTCGTAAAAAGTCCATTGTATACAGACATTAATGCACTTCCTGGTTGTGTTTCAATTTTGTGAAAGAGAAGGAGTGTGTTTGTGTGTGTGTGTGTGTGTGTGTGAATTGTGTTGCACTCTATCATATTCCGTATTTACTCGAATAAACGCCGCTTTGAATGAACTCCCCTCCAGAGCCTCATTTGGAATAAACGCCTCCCTATAATATTATTTATTTTTTAATAAACGCCCCCTAAATACCTGTAAACAAAACTACTGGAAGCATCATCATTCTCCATACATTTTATTAATGTTCTACTCCAGTAGAATTACATTCTGTCAACCTGGTTGTCAATGTCTTTATGATCATACAAAAACACATTTTGGCCGTACTTATGCAGTGAAATTAGGTGATTATACGTACGTATTCATTTTACGCCAACAAATAAACGCCTCCCTCGAATAAACGCCCTTTCAAAACCCTTTAATAATAAACGCTGGGCGTTTATTCGAATAAATACGGTTCTATTTAAAATTTGGGTCTCTGGTTTAGTATATTTCGTAACCTGCAAATGCTGGTGGACCGCAAAACACTCTAATTACATCTTTCCCGTGTTTGCACTAGGACATGGGTGATAGGTTGAGGCGATGTATAGAGTAATTGACAGTGAGGGGAAATAAGAGTAATTGAGCTTGGGTCTAACAGGGCGAAAAAGGTAAACATATTATTAGTTTATCGTTTATTTCGTTCTGATAAACAGTAGCCTGTACATCAAAAGGATGGCACACACAATAGGCCTACGTAAGCCGAATACTAGGCCTACTAAAACTAAAATTACATTAAAATATGACCACATAAGGAAGGCATTGCAGATTCTTTAAAGCCGGTTACTCACTGCGTGCGACGAAGAACGCACGCGAAGACGCGGACCCAACGATCGTCTTTTTAATGGGGATCCGTTCAGATTGCCACTGACAATCAGCAGACGGCGTTGCGTCGTCTATTGCTCGCCGGAAGCAAATGTGGATACGTCGTACGACGCAGTGAGTGTCCTGCTTAATACAACTAAATGTTATACACTATTTTAAATAATTCTACATCCTATGCAGCAATATTAATGTCTTATGTTAAAGATAAAATAGGGCCGAAGATAAAATCACCTTTATTCATCCAAAAAGGGATACTCATTTGCTCGTCAAATCCGTACAAAATGTATGTGAATAAATGTGTATAGGGCCTATAAAAATTAAAAAAATAAAACAAGACAATGTCATTTGTGTATTCGCATTATTACTACTACTACAAAAACAATAGAAACTACAATAGCAGCAGCAAAACGTATAAATATATGGTTTTATTACAATAAAAATATTTTATTACAATTATTATTATGTTACACTTAATTAAAATACCAGCTGCGACTTCAGGCAGCCTCACACCCCCACATACCTCAGTTGAGTTGAAAAGAAAATTATATTCAAATCTGAGAGTGCCATTTCCGGCCAATGATGTAGAGGTGCCATATTCATAAATTTTCAGGCCTCAGTCCCAAACATGATAGGGTATAGATCCTCTATCTGTGAAAGTCCCTCCTTGGGCCTCCTCTATTTCGAATTCCTGAATCCGCATCTGGACTTAGAGTGGAAGAAGTTTGACTCCGTGGCCTGCGGCTAACATCTGGGGGGTGGGGGGATTATTTTCTCATAGCAGACCTGATATGCAATTATAATTTATAAAATCACAACATTAACGGGTAACGCTTCTATCCATGTACTTGCTATTTTTATTTAAATGCTCAGTATATTTATTACAAATGTAAAAATTGTGTGGCCTTGAAATGACAGACAGACCGATGGGAGCAATTAATTTTGCTAGCCAATTTCACAATGTTAATTTTCCCCCTTTTAAAAATGAAATAGGCCTTTGAGCGTAAAGTGTCAAGCATTATCATTGACGGTGCATTATAATATCGAAAAAAAACACTGTCCTATTTAATAACATAGAGTAACTAAATATTTAAACTTCACTTGTTAATAAATTATACCAATAAAATACTAAAGGTAAAACATTTACCAATAACAAAATTGCATATATCTATTGGCTTTTATATCCAGACCTGTCAACCCGTACGCATTCACCGTAAGTCTTACGCATTCCAATAAAATTTTACGGTATTACGCAAACACCGGCAAAACTTACGCTTATCCTAAAATTTAAGTAAATTTTGTTTTCAATTTTTTTCAATTTTTTTGTTCAATTTGTAATGAATACTATAACTAACACCATTCATCATAACATTCTACCCCCATGTTTCAATAACTACTGTATCTGAGATCATTATAAACTCACTAATATCGATTAGATATGCCATTTAAGCCAAAGCGTCCAGGCCCCCTGGACCCCGACCTTGGCGGCCCCTGGACCCCAGCCATTGTTCATGCCTTCGGCACTCATTAGGTGTCACCCGATCTTGAAATTTCTCAAGGTTGACAGGAATGTATATCAATTACACCAGCGTTATCCCAGCATTTGGACTCTTAACAAATCATCAAGTCAAGTGCTCGTTCTCTGTGTACACTTATAACTGTTAGGCTCTTGTTAGTTAACGTTGCTGGTATTGATCGTGCAGTAGCCGACCTTCCCATTTACAAACCTTCTATTTTACGAACGTTCGGCCGATGACGTCATCGCTAGATTTATTCATCTAGTTTTTGCTATTTTTATTTATTTTTAGGAAAAACGAATTACAAAGGTCATTAAAAAATGCATTATAGTACTAGTTATACAGTACATTTCATAAATACATCGTACTACTTTAGGCTTAGAAAAGTCAAACCAATACATGATGTAAAATAATCAAAACTAGCCAAAATTCAGGCAGGCATTGCATGTTGCTAGGCCTACCTTTTCTAGGCTAATTGCAAGGCTAGGCAGCCTATACCAGGGGGGCCTACCCTACTCTGTCTTATGGTTACCTGCGGTCTAAATGCACTGTAAATCGAATCAGCTAGTTCGAGTATAAATGTATGGTAACATCAACCTTTTATCCTTTTAAGAATAAATCACTTTTCGGATATTCAATAAGCATCTATATTATTTGTTTTTCACTGTCAAAAAACGATTAGCAAGCTGCTCTATTTTTAGAAGATGACATCAGCAATTACCCATCATTCAACGCCACAGGTACCAACCAAAACCACATGTTTGGAAGTCAGGAAGGTCAAAAAATAGGAACCGTTTCTTTTTTAAAATTATACAAAAATACCTTGAGTAAATTACATAAATAATAAGCCAATGTTTGTTTACTAATTTGCTACAAATTACGGAGAGATGCCTGCTAAAGTTAGCAGAGAGCTGCTGCTAGGCCCAGCTAAACCTTGGCTAAACCCCCACTGTATGTTGAACAGTCAGCCTATTAGTGACATGGAAGATTAGGTCGGTCTATCCATGGAACGATTTCCTTAGCCTATTATGAATCGATATTTAATATTAATTTGTCTTGCATTAACATTTAATTGATTCTTCAACGATTTCTATACATGTTTATTGAACAATTAAATGCAAAATTAAGCCTAGATGTTGGTAGGCAGGCCTAGTTATAGGCTACAACTTAGCGTTTTTAAACTTGAGGGCGCTATTTTTACGAACTTCTCATTTACAAATTTTCTCAATTACGAACTGCTTTCAGCCCAAGGTGTACGTAAATGAGAAGGTCGACTACTGAATAAGCGACTGCCCTGCGTCAACTTCACTAAAGTATGGCGAGCCGAGTTGTTATTTAATCGTAAATAGAGATAGGCCTATCTTAGTTTTAAATACAGATAGGCCTATCTTAGTTTTAAATAGAGATATTTTAGTTTTAACTAAGATATCTCTGTTAATAGAGACATCTTAGTTTTAAAGACAGATATCTATATTAAAAACTAAGATATATCTATTTAAACTAAGATATCTCTATTTAAAACTAAGATATCTCTATTAATAGAGATATTTTTATTAATAAAGATATCTTAGTTTTAAATAAAGATATCTTAGTTTTAAATAGAGATATCTTAGTTTTTAATAGAGATATTTTATATAATTAATGCTTGCGGTACACCACGTAGATAGTTCTGAAAAGAACTGTTGTTGTTGGTTGAGAATATCTCGACGTTTCGGTTGACTTGCTTCAAACGTCTTCAGGAGAATAATATCTGCAGCGATCTCAAACAGGGAAATACTTATATGTTTGAGTGATGAGACTTGCTGCTGATTGGTTGAAAACTAAACAAAGGCTGAGCCTACCAGTGAAAAGCTATACAAAAGCTAAAATTCACGGTCTGAATAGAAGGGCGGGGCGTGGCTAGAAAGCCAAGACAGTGGCATTGTTCTAGCTGGGGGAAGGAAAGCCAAAAAAATGGCATAGTTTCCAGTGTAGAGGGAAAGATTTGGCGGGAAAAATTTGGTTTAGTTCCGGTTAAACATGGACAACCAAATATCGCTGATGACAAATCCAATATCTTGATGTACTGTATCGTGTTTGTGAATTTCTATAGCTTCTCTGGTCCGTCTGGAATGCCAAGATGGTGCAGTGGCTATCAGTTCAGATTTATCCCAACATACACGATGTTGTTGTGTGTGGGAGTGCATGAATATAGATGACTTCTGTTGTTCCACTCTCCTGGCATGGCCTTGGTGTTCCTTGAGCCTGGTGTGGAGATCACGACCTGTTTCACCAATGTAAACCTTTCCGCATTCGCATGGTATCCGATAAGCTCCTGGCTGGCTATTTGCTGGTGGCTTATCCTTGTGAGTTTGAAGAGTCCTTGATAGTTTGTTGGGTGCACTATGAAAAACTTTAATATCGGCTAGTTGTAGAATGCGTTGAATACGGTGAGAAAGCGGTCCCAAAAATGGTAAACATACAGACTTTCTAGGTTCCGTGTCATCTTGGCTATTGCTGCGTTTGTGTATTTTCAAATCTCTCATGTGATAACCGTTGAGTTTCAGGGCTTCCTTTACATGTTGCATCTCTTTCTGGATGGAGTTGCGGTCACTGATGCTTTTTGCTCTTCTGATAAGTGTGTTGCAAACTCCTTTCTTGGTAGATGGTAAACTGGTAGAGAGTAAACAAAGTAAAAGAAGGTCGTGGATCTGTTCGGGGTTGAGTGCTGTTCTGTCTTGGAGAGTAGGGTCCTCTTCTAGACGATGTTTTGCTATAAGACAAGCCTGCTTCACCGGTACAGGTACCCTACCAGTACAGATGGCATGACCAATTCTTTGAACAAACTGAAGGCACGGCCATGGGATCTCCTTTATCCCCAGTCATTGCCAACATCTCCCTCGAAGAATTCGAACAGCTGGCTATTCATTCCGCCACCCGACAACCCAAACTTTGGCTACGATACGTCGATGACACATTTATCATTTGGCAGCACAGCAAGGTGCACCTAGATAGTTTTCTAGACCACCTGAACTCTCCTGGCATGGCCTTGGTGTTCCTTGAGCCTGATACGGAGATCACGACCTGTTTCACCAATGTAAACCTTTCCGCATTCGCATGGTATCCGATAAGCTCCTTGCTGGCTATTTGCTGGTGGCTTATCCTTGTGAGTTTGAAGAGTCCTTGATAGTTTGTTGGGTGCACTATGAAAAACTTTAATATCGGCTAGTTGTAGAATGCGTTGAATACGGTGAGAAAGCTGTCCCAAAAATGGTAAACGTACAGACTTTCTAGGTTCCGTGTCATCTTGGCTATTGCTGCGTTTGTGTATTTTCAAATCTCTCATGTGATAACCGTTGAGTTTAAATATAATATAAAATTTCAAAATGGCAAAACAAAGGTTTTCATAGTTGGTGGGAAAGGAATTTTCTTTTTCATTAATCTTCTTTGATGCAATTCTAATTATATGTTTAAGTAGGGGCCTCTATAAAATACCAGGGTCTGTGAAAATACGATCGGACATGTGCAGGACTGTTGCAAACATGTGGGCCATTGTGGATTAAAAAATGCGGACGTACGGTAGCAAACCTTTCCTAATAAGAATTCTATTACTTTATACATTTTTAAGGTGGGTCTTATACAATATCCGGTACGCGATATCTTAGGCTAGTAACAAAATATATTTAGCATGGAACACTTAGGATGCTTTGAGATTTGAGTCCGCCGTGTAGGTAAAACTAAAATCTAAATTTTTGTTAAAGGCCATCGTGGAGGATAATTTTCTGACTAGATCATTTGTTTTTTTAATCAAACAGAATTAAGTCTGTGAACGAAGTCAGTCCTGGTCCAAGTATTTCATATCATATAATTAGTAAAAAATAATCCCGTGACGCTCTTATTCTATTCCATCCTATCCTAGGATCTAGAATTAGAACATTACTCGAGACGTGAGAAAGTCATTACACGTCGACCCACGAACTAGAACACAGTACTGTAGCATTAAAAATAAATCGAACTTTAGCAGAATAGAAGTGCGCCATCCCTCAGTGGCGCATCAATCCATTGTAACTCTATTTATTAAAATAAGGTTTCAACTACGATCGCATGACTCCATGGCCAGCAAGAATAAGTTGTATTTAACATGTATTTTCATAATTTCTGCTAAAAAAATTGACCAACTTGACTGGATAATTTTGAACACATGTGAACTTTACCGCAATTCAACACATGTGAACTTTAACAAGAAATATTTTCTATAAAAAAAAACGCCGCAACTTCTATAGCTTATTTAATTATTCAATTTGTGTATACTCTACAGCTACTTCCAAATTTATTCTATGTGTAAATTTTGTTATCGTATTTACGTTAGCTGTTTCAATAAATAAATCTGTAACTGTATTTTCCTATAGAGCAACAGATATTGTAGAGTTTACATTATTGAAGCTATGGTATTTTTTTTTATTTGTAGGGTGTTGCGAAGTACCTAAGTAGAGATCTGGGAATAAATTTAAACAATTTCTTTATTTGGAAGTAGCAGGCGTCTTCCAGATAGAGTTGTGGAATACAATTTTAAAATGAGTCCTTACAGGCTTATGTACTGGTATATTTTGTTGAACAATAAGCAGGTTTGAGAAACATTGATGAACATCATCATCATTATCAATTAATATCCATGTGAGATCTGTTATACATTTATGTTTCTTAATAATTGGAACAATATTCTTATCTTTAAACTTCCTAAATTTATTTAAAACTTTACAAACATACATTATCCATGCTTCTGTCATGTGATCAAGTTTGGGTAAGCACTTTATATCACTATTTTGATATTAATTGTTTATTCATTTAACAACATACATATTGGCAATAGCAAATATCATAGGGCTTATGTACTGGTATATTTTGCTGAACAATAAGCAGGTTTGAGAAACATTGATGAACATTAATTAAGATTCATGTGAGATCTTTTTATACATTTACGAACACAGATGAATTGGCTGTAAAGATTGCCAAAATAGAGGGTTTCAACCCGCTCGAGTTCTCATTATATTCCATCCATATATAGTTTCCCCGTTATTTCATACCCTCTTCGCAGCCGCTTTTTGGTTCTTAAAACGTCTTAACAGCCGCTATTTGGTTACTGAGACGCCTTTTTGGTAACTGCACATGCTCGACATGGCTTGATAACGTCACTTACTTCCAAGCGCATGCTCACTGTGTTTTTTTAATAATTAACGGACGTTATTTGGTAACTGCGCATGCGCATTTGCTTAATTCGGAATTCCCACTTCTTCGTAGTAAAAGCTACCGCTACCTACTGTTTCTTAATGACTATTTCCTCTTGATCGTTACAGCCTAAATGATGCGGCGTGAAAATCGAACTTCAGCAGAATAGAAGAGGGCCATCCCTCAGTGGCGCATTAGTCTATTGCAACTATATTTATTAAAATAAGAATTTAACTACGATCGCATGACTCCATGGCCAGCAAGAATAAACGTATTTAACATGTATTTCCTTAATTACAGCTAAAACAATTGAAGACCAACTTGACTGGATAATTTTGAACACATGTGAACTTTACCACAATTCAACAATGACCTCCAAAATTGCGAGTTGCTTACTTATAGTGTTAGTAAATGTATATTCCACATCGAGTCAAGCAAACACTACAACAGCACCAACAAATTATAGGCCTATCACAAACTCTACAACTTATATAAGCACGATTAATGCACAAACAACCGGTCTAAATACCTCAGGTCTAAATGCGACCACTACAGATGTAGAAGAATACAGTAAAACTGGGATTGAAACTCAATCACCTCAAACCAGCATTGCGTCTGTGACGATGTCTAATTTGTCCACATCTGTGATGACTTCTGGTTCACAAACACCTGCGCCGAGTTCTGATTCAACACCGACTTTCATAACCACAGAGTATAAAACCACTCAGTCTCCGCTAATCAGCAGTAAGTTGCCGGCACCTGCTCCGAGGTCTGATTCAATACCGACTTTAATAAACACAGGGTATGAAACCACTCAGTCTCCGCTAATCAGCAGTACGTTTACGACGTCTGATTCACAAACAACTAATTTGACCCCAAGTGTATCAACGACTACGGATAAGCCGAAGACGACGTTTAATTTTAACACAACCAGAAATGAAACCCCAAATATGGTAAGGTTGAAATTGACTAACACATGGTGGTGTCCCGAATGTCCAACTAGGGTTTGATGAGATAGTTGGGTTAGCCCAAGGAATCTAATGGCTGAGGACAAGACGAAATATTCGTTTTTAAGCCCATACTTCAAAAATAATTAGGCATTAGGCCTAGTATAACTACAGACCCAAATATAACCGATAGCAGAAAACTAGCGACAGAATACGGCTATAATGATATTATTATTATCATTACCATTATAACCATCATCAACATCACTATCATCATCAATTATCAGCATCATTATTATTATCATTATTGGTATTATATATTATTATTACTATTGATATAATAAGAATCGGGTATGTGCAACAAACAGATCATCAGATATTTTTCGGTTTTTTTTATAGCTTGAGATTCAACTAAAAGAAGCATATATAAAAAGTTTTTTAAATATGAGTTTATCTGTCAAGTGTGATGACACAATATGTGATAACAGGTAAATATTATCCATACCATTTTCATAAATTCTTTTTAACACATCCAAAACCGGTACGCAATAGCATCACCAAATTAAATCACACACACACCCACCCACAGCCGTTAACACTGTTAAATTACAGTATATATATATATATAAATCATCAACGAAAGGTAAAAACAGTGTTATAATAAAGGACATGATGTTACACCGTGTAGCATAGCTCTCAGCGAATGTTGTCCTTAAATAAATGCATTGTGTAATAAAATGCCTCAGGCAGGATTCAAACCTGCGACCCCTCGCTGTCAAGGCGAGCGTCATCAACAATAAACCACAAAGGCTTCATTGTTAAACAGATTCAAATAACCGCCAGCTACATTGTATTACACAATGATGGTGGACCTCGAGAGAGCGTTAAGTACCATCATGTCCTTTAATATAACACTGTATTTACCTTTCTTTGATGATTTATATATAATTTAACAGTGTTAACGGCCAGCTTGATTATTATTATATGTTACTATTTATTTCCAGCCGTACTTAACGCCTTCTCGAGGTGCACTATCATTGTGTAATACGATGTAACTGGCGGTTATTTGAATCTATTCAACCATTATTATTACACTGTATTTACC